GCCCCGCGTCCCGCCGCCGCCCGCGAGCCGCGAACAAAGAAGTGCGCCCGGGGCTGCGGGCAGCGCTCGCCTCGGGAAGGAACTTCAGAGCGGGAGAGAGGGCCAGCCGCGAGAAGCTAGCTGTGGAAATGCCGAGCCAAGAGGGGTTTCCGTGTGGATCCCTCCTAGGGGGAATATCCCCGAGAGAATGGCAGGGATTCGGCTCTTGTCAGGAGAAAAYGCGAGGCGTCTGCCCTCTGGTTTGGAGTCACTTTCATACCTGTTTATTGCCTCTCTGTTCTGTTTTTAATATGTGGCTGATTGCAGCTCAGTACCAAAGTTCCTTAGAAAAATGTAAGATTACTTTAGTTTCATCGTACAGGGGGAAAATAATGAAGAAGAGCCCTTGGTTTTATTCTTTGTTGACTGCATTAGCAAGTGACTGAATTACGACTTGCACGGAGGGTTAAAAGTGCTGTCTTCTTTATTGCAGAGCTCTAGGGGAAGATGTTGTCTCTTCTGACATCTTGCGATTGAGATACCTGAGAACAGGTTCAGTAAGAATCCAGGTTCCCGAAGAAGACAGTTATGAACGTATTGAAATAAGTCGTAAACATTTTTTTTTCCCCCTCTGTTGTGTCTACCACTTAAGAAACCGTAATCTGAAGCACTTCCTGGGCGCTTGCCCGCATGAATGAAGTCTGCAAAGCTCGCTGTCGAAACTGACCGCTTCCCAGTGAGTGGCACATGCTTGTGAAACATACGTAATACTGCCGAAGAAAAAGAAATCACCTTTTGCTATACCGTTCCCAGAAGGAACACTTTATTGTGGACAGCTTTTTCTGGATTTATATCCGAAGAGATTAATGCCTAGAGTTGAAAGGCATTTAGCACACGCTGCGAAGTTGGCTTTGCCTCAGTTTTTCCAGATGTATTGTCTCCGCTGTATACTGGAAGCACGCGCACAACTGCCCAAACGACAGATGTAGTCATGGAGCTGTATGGACTTTTGAGCCATGTGAGAAGCATAATTGAGCGCTGCTATCAGACGTGGCTTCGTGATGTCAGCTGAGCTGTGATGTGCAAGGCTAAACATAAAGCATCCGAATGGAGTGACACACATCCTGTGAAGAGGCTGATAAGTTTTATGAGGAAACTTAACAGATTGCCATGGTCTGTGACAGGCTCTGAGTGGAAGACTTTCTGCGCAAGATGAATTCCTGTTTACAGTCTTCAGGGTGTTGAAGGGGTATTTGCTGCTTATGACAAACCCAAGAGCAGAAGCTTTGTAAAATGGCTCAAACCAGCTTGCTGCAAGGAAAGCAGTTTTATTGTAGGGAGTGGGTTTTCCACAAGCTTCAGCACTGCCTCCAGGAGAAAGCCAACTGCAGCGGTAGTGCTGCCAACAAACCATCTCTTGTAGCAAATTCTGGGAATAATACTGGTGTTGTCTCTGGGAAAGGAGCCGCCTGGGGTGTCTTGTTGGTAGGAGGGCCTGGTAGTGGGAAGACAGCCCTCTGCACTGAGTTACTGTGGCCAAGCTCACCTGCAAACCTGCAAAGAGGTTTACACCGTCAAGCTCTAGCCTTCCATTTCTGCAGGGCCCAAGACTCTGACACGCTCTGYGTCGGGGCCTTTATTAGAGGTTTAGTTGCACAAATCTGCCGCAGTGGACTGATCCAGGGATATGAGGACAAACTAAGAGACCCTGCTATTCAAAGTCTCTTGCAGCCTGGGGAATGCGAGAGGAACCCTGCTGAAGCATTTAAAAGGTAATAAAAAAAAATCCCACAACAAACCTAACCAAAATAAAACTCAAAGAAACAAACAAAAAAGGCTGGCTTCTGTTTAGGCTCTTCCTTCCAAGGAGTCTATGATACAGGATGCTGTAGAACATGCTTGTCTTGCAGAATCATGGCTTGTTGTCTCTATGGATCTCTCTCAGTTCTTGTAGACTGACCATGGGAAAAATCAAACGTTGTCCTCATAGCTGGTATAAATAAATACTTGCTTTTTAAAACAATTTAATACTAATAGTGAATTTATTTACATTAATGCAGTAATACTCTCAGCTGTACCTGCCTTTTGGAAGGAGTTAAAAGTAACAGACTTCAGAGTGGAAGGTACCTAGTGATCTTTGCCTAAAGGCCCCCCTAAAAGGCAGTTTTCCTTCAGAGTCCTTAAATGGGCTTTTCAGGACCCTCACAAAAGCTTCTAATACTGGTTTCTGTCAAGCAGGAAACTGGACTAATGGATCTCTGGGTCTGATCCAGGACATCAGTTTTATGTTTGTCTAAAAATATGTGGTAGGAAGGCAATTCCTAATTAACTCCTTATGTTACTTCTTGCATATATGTATGATCATACTAATAATATATTTAAAATCTAAAAATCCATTGCTTATGGGCACTGTAAAGCATTCRGTGAATCAGAAATCTGTCAAGAGGGCTCTTTTTTTTTCTTCTTGTGATACTAATTGCATATATGTGTAAGAGTTTCCAAAGAAGGGTCACATAGGAGAATCTTCCTGAGCATTTCTAAGTGCACATCTACGAGATACATGTTCCATAGGGTCACAGTGATGGAAGACTGGGAAAGCACAAAGCTTGGCTCTAGTAGAGCTTCAACTGGCTGTGTTGCTAGTATGAAACTTTCCTTGGGCGTTACTTAAACTAAGGTGCTGTTGCACAGTGGTTGCTTTTTTGTAGTGCCTGCAGGTTTAAGGGACGGTGTCTGTAGTATTAAAAAGTCTTTGTCAGATTTTGTTCCCCCCCCCCCCCTTCCTCTTCAGCCTACCTAGGCAGGGGCTGGGTAAACAGGCCCTGGGGGTTGAGCAGCAGTGCTCAGTGGTGTTGGCAAGGTGCTCTAGAAGAACCTTGCACTTCTGTTGGCTGCTTTGGTCTTGCCAGTGAATAAACAGGATGCAGTTCTGCCATTGTTCTCAGTGCAGTGTCTTTAAAACACTCTGAATAGAYTAAACCAAGGCTAAGTCTGGATTTGTTTGTTTGTTTGTTGCTAAATGACAATGCAAGCACTAGCAGCTATTAAGGTCTTATTTTGAGATGTCTTGACTTCTGTCAACCTCCAGTGACTGAAAACAGGATGAAATTAAGTGCTTATAAACAGAATAACGGGCCAGGTATGTAGCTTTAGGCAGACTTTTTAAATTGTGGAAGAGGATTAATCTAATGATTGAATGCCTATTTTTGTTTAAAAGTCTGCTCCAAAGAAATCTTACAAATTATTCTGGCCAAGCTCTCTACTAAGCTGTACCCTGCTCTAAACACCACTGCCCTGATGCAAAGAACAGGGGCTAGGTGAATGGCTTCAGACAAAACACARCACAGAGATAGGGAAGATGACTGCAAGTCAGCTTTCTTGGGAAGATAAATTTTTATGAAACCTTTAATGATTGGCTATTTTTGTATTTAGTTCCTTGTGCAAGGTTTATGGGTTTTTACTAGAAAAATTACATGACAAAACATTTGGCGTTAGTTTTTCCTCACTCAGATTTTACAGCAGTGATGGTGAACTRCTGTTACACTGGCAGTACTAGACTGTGGTTCAGCAGCTTTGGTCAGGGAGAATTTGAGGGTGTTCTTAGGTGAATTCCGTGATTGCCTTGCTGCCCACCTGCCCTGTTTCTGAAAGCAGGTGTTGCAGTTTGCCTTTATCCCCATGTTCCAGGTTCAAGGAAGACGGGGTGCTAGCGACAAGGGGCAGTCCAGGGAATATAGGTTTTCAGCGCTGTGGCAGGGGACCAGGAGATTTCCCTGAACTTGTTCTGCTGCTTGTATGAGTCAATTGCTGTTCTGCAGACAGGAGGACCTTAACTACGCCTGCCCCAAATGTCATAGCAATTCATTGGTGCAATTTTGTTAAAATACATAGAAAAGCATAGAAAAATTATTCATCAATAAATATATCCTGAGCTGTTGTTTTGTTTTTATGTCTCCTAAGACTCCGTGCTAAGCCCTACAGTTTTCCAGTCTGGTGTATTTATATGTCCATTCTGTTAAGTGCATGCTGGTGTAATGTGAAATGAGTTCTAAAAAGGCATAACAGTGAGTTGATTGACCTTCATTTTTGTAAAGATGCTGACACGGCACAGAACTCTCATCTCAATGCTCCATTCATGTTACCTTATTCTAATTTTCTTTATTCAATAGACAAGTGTCTTTCTTTAAAGCCACTGTCACACATTCTTGCTCTGCTCCAGGCTGAGCTACATATTCATGGCCTAAAATGGAAAGCCTTCTCTTTATAAGTGCTAAACAAGATTACACTATTCTATTTTTGTGCCAATTGTCCTAGAAATAGTAAGAAAGAAACTTTTAGATGCCTTGGAAACGTGCTAGTTTGTAAGCAAAATAATGTCCATTACCCAAAACAGTTTATCTTTTTATGGAGAAGATATTCTTTAGGTTTCCCACAATTCTGGTGTTTGTRGTGATACATGAGCAATTAACTATCCAGAAAACTAAAGCTTTTTTTCCCCTTCTGTTTTAATGTTTCTCTCTCAGGGAAAAAAAAAAAAAAAAGAATGTATTTAAAATATCAAACTGCCTTAATCATTTTAGGGACAAGTGGACAACTTGAAGAGCTGGATAGGCTGCCACATCGAAATGTGTTTGACAGGCATTTGTTGCTGTTGCACTGACAGCTGAGAGGAGGTGCTACTAGTGGCAATGCTTCTGAAGTGCTTTTCTCCTGATACGCAGATCGGGAGCAGAGAGAAGCCTTAATCGTAAGGAAGGATGCTGAAGCTCAAGTTTGAGCYTTGGGTAAAAGCAAAGCATAAAGGAAGCAGCAAGGAATGTTTCAGATTCTAAGAATACCCATGAGTAATGCATTACGCTGCAATGAATTTAATTGACAGAAATCAATTATACTAGTCATACCTGTTTCGCTAGAAAAGGCAAAACCAGAATATCCCAATTTCTGCCGTATTACCTTCAGTGTCGTGGGTGGGAGTTTTCAGTTTTGTGCAGTGTTCATGCTTCTGGTGTCTGGTGCAAATACAGGTGGATATCAGTTATGCAGGGAAGAAGAGGAATTCTTATAAAGCAAARCCATAATCCTAAGCAAATGATATACATGATACATACATGATATAAAGCAAAATATTACAGAAATATTTGCCCTCATGGTTTCCCTTTATGCTTTACAGAAAAAGGGGATGACTTGGGCTTAAGACAGGAGGCAGTGGGGGAATTTGCACTTCCCCCATGTGCTGTGCTGCAATTAGAATTCGTGGAGAAAGGCAGAGCTTGATTTAATTCTCAGCCTGGACAGAGGACTGCATTAGAAGTATAGAACTCATTTTCATTGCATAGTTGATTTCTTTTCCAGCTACAGCTCTGAGTGGAAGGCATCCACTGCCAGAGTTTGAGTCAATCGCAGAGAATTTAGAGCAGCTGCCYCCTAAATAACATGAGGTAGTTGAGCTTGCTCTAAACTCACTCTCAGTGTGCATTGGTCTAGTACAAAGTTTGAGTTTTGTATAATACTTTCTAGTGGACGTCTTTGCAGTAACTTAAATTCTTGTGAGATTTTTTTACATTTTTACTTGTTCCTTATATTCTGTATTTGGGTCAGTTGTCAGTTCAAGTGCTTTTTTTCACTTGTKTCATTACTCAAAACTTTAATAAAGGTATGTATCTCTACCATTATTTTAATGTAGCATGGCCTGCTCTAAGATTTATACTGAAAAAAAGTAATGTGCAAATAATAATGTGCAAATAAAATGCAAATAATGTGCACCCACCTAACAGAACAGGAGAAAAAAAAAAAGCTGCTTAACAGAGCACATTTGTGATTGTGTAAGAACTTAATAGAAGTCTTCTTGAATTGATGTTATATCTTCTTTACCAAAAATCAATATAGTAGAAACAGATCTGCCAAATGGAATTGTCCTTCAGCAAAGGCAAAAGTATTTATTTCTTCTTCAGTACAGGCCAGTGATAAATACAATATAGAAAKAAAAGCAGTTTTGTATTTTGTTTGGAATATCCAGCAACCTGTACACTTGACTGTAAAATGTGTGGGGTTGCATAAGAATTAYGTTGACTGCAGGTATGAAGAAGGGATTTACATTGATGGGAGTTGAAAGCCTTCTTGCTTGAGTCATTGGTCTGGCCAGCATTAGGTGCTGTGTATAGGAAGTTGCTTTTACCTTTTGGGAATGCAATTAGGATGCAGAAGTTTGCAGGATTGAGCCTGTGGCGTTTCATGGTTGGCAATATAATGGAAATTTTAAAAACAGCAGAAYTTGGAGTAAAAAACTAGGATTGTGAATCCATGCTAACAGATGGTTTTTTCCCCCACCCTCTAYGAGCTTTCCGTGCTGCTTTTTCTTTCTTTCTTTCTTCCTCCCTCCTTTCTTTTCCGTAGGGCTGATGTATCACCACAAACTTGCAAATTGCAGGTGTCTAGGTGAGATTTTACCTCTGTGTAAATGATAAGGGGAAAAGTTTATTTCAACTTTGAGATTGCTTGCTGGACGGTGTAGAAAAACACAAGTTTGTTCAGCAAATGTTCTGCAATAGCTGCCCAGGGTCTTTATATCTACAGTACTGAAATGCCTTTTTTTGTTATTATTATTTTTCTTGCCATTTATCAAGCATGAATTATGGGAGGATTTTAGAAAACTGGGTGTTTATGATAACTAATCAGATGAAGTGTGAAGAAGCTGTTCTTTTTGCAGCTCCTTGTATGTTCTTTGAAGCAAGTAGCATAACTGAAATTACTGTGTGTAGACTTCTTGTAGCAG